TAATTTTCTTGTAGAGTTGATATGTGCTAATAGCCTCATTGTAAAGCTTTTTTTAATTTTCGCATTCGTAAAGATACCACATTTCAGTTGCCAAAATAAAAAAAAATCTTGTTATTTGGAATTTTTTTGAAAGGTACTATATATCTTAAGCATAAGCAATGTAAATGTGTGTTCTTATTTTTATTCATGGCCCATTTTAAAATATATTTAATTCCTTAGAATTTTCTGTAATTAGCAGTATTGATCTCTTTATTTGTTATTATATATTTGATGCCAATTATTTATTGAGACACTATATGGTGTTGGAGATACTGTCATGAAAAATACAAAGCTTAATGCGGCATAGGTGCACCTATACAAATGATTGCACGTGAGGGAAAAAAGTGACAACAGTCAAATGTTGAGAATACTATAGAGTCCAAGCAAGGTGTAGCAAAATGCGCTTTGTGAGTTAAGGGAGATGTCACAAAGGAACTGAAATTTGAAGTAAAGTAAAAATGTTCTAGATGGACAGAAGAGTGAGCCATTTCTAGCCTGAAAGAACATCATGATTAAAGCTACAAGTACAGAAAATTGAACCATTTTTATCTGCCATTGTGGCTGTGTGGTAAGTTACTAGTGGGAAATTAGTTGGTAATTACCTGGGGGAGGTTAGATCATAATCTTCTATAAGAGTCTGGGAAATTTAGAATTTAGATTTTATCCTCTAGCTACTGGGGAATAATTGCAAGATTAAAAACAGATTTAAAAAAACGAAACAAAACAAAACCGAACTCTTGTCAGTGGTAGAGATCATTAACTGGAGGTCGGGGAGTGGGAGGGGGCAGGATGAACTTGAAGTCAGGGAAACCCTGAAGCCTAAATAAGTAGTTTATGGAAGGCGATTAGATTCTCAGTTAGGGTAGCACAGGTCAAGAGGGAGAAGAAGGAATAGTGTTTCAAAAATATTTTAAGAGGAACCTCATCATGTGAGGAGAAATCTTCAAAAGTTTTATTTTTAAGCAATAAAATGAATGGTGGTTTCATCAAATGAAACAAGAAATGTTGATGAAGCAGCATGTTTTTGAGAAAGAGAACAATAAAGAATGATTTCATTTAGCATATCCTTGAATCTGAGAAGCCCCTGGATGATCCAAGTGGAGATGTTTAGTAGACAAAGGAAAGGTGAGTCTGGACTGTAGGATGTGTCTAGAGATAAAAATTTAGAAATGGATTTGATTATCTAGGGAAAAGCTGAAGGGAGAAGAAAAAACGTTGAGGAGAGAAAATGGGGAACAACAGAAGTTAAACCAGATCTAGCATCGTATCCCCCTAGAGACTAAGAAGGTATTATCAAAGGGCTAAAGAGAAAAATCAGTGGAATGTGATGTCCTGGAAGCCAAGGGAAGAAATCACTTCAAGAATGATGAAGTCATTTGTAGAGCTGGATATCAAAAAGAAGTAAAGACAATGTATACTCCCTAAAATAGAAGACTCTGATGCCTGAGCAAACTATCAAAGTTGATCTATACATTATATCATTAGGAGAGAAATAAAGAGGAAATAGTATTTCTGAAAAT